CTTGGGTATAAGGGGTGTCATGAGTACTACGTTTAACCAAAGATCTAGAAACGTTGCAAGATTTTCTACCCATTGAAACATATATAAAATATGTGGCGGCACTTACAGCCGAATGGCTCATAGCTGTCCAAACGTTGTTATAGGACAAGCCACCAAAGTATACTGGACACATTGGAAGTCTATACACAATTATCGGACGTGTCCGATACAGATACAGAATATGTCGGAAACTTTAAAACACTGATGCTAGATAGAATATCTTGGTCAAGCGGACCATTACAGCAAATACCCGTAGGAATCCGTTGCTACATGGATGGCTCTAAATTGGGAGACAAAGTGGGCCTGGGATTCTATATTGAAAACCCAGAAACAGAAATATACCACCGTTAACCTAATTACAACACAATCTACCAGGCAGAAGTACGAGCAATAACGTAATGTGTAAATTGGATTCCAATATACATATATGGCGCTCACAGGTCTTAACATATTGACCGACAGCCATAAGGCAATAAGACCTCTACACTGAAAGGTAAAAGAAGTCTGGAATAAGTAAGTATAAGACAATTAGGGCAATATCAGGTGATAAAGTTAAATCTAAAACCGTATTGAATTGTATGAAAGCTTTAAGTGAAGACTCTCCTAGAGATAAGGTTTACATCATATGGATACCAGGCCACTCGGGAGTAGTCGGCAACGAAAGGGCTTTAAAGGGAAGGAAGCTCGAGGTAGTTAACCTGACAAACGCAAAACCATTGGACACAACTAATGATGAATTAAAAATATTGGTAAGAGAATCCCATAAATTCTCTTGGAATAACGAAACGTTGGGTAGAACCACAAAGATATTATGCGGTGATCCTGATGAGAGCATGATAAGAAATCTCCTCAAAATGAGCAAGTCTGAGGTTAGTATGATAGTACGTATTGTGAGTGGACACACAGGATTACAAGCACATCTATACAAAATTGAACGTGAGGATTCAGATGAGAGGACAACGCATTTTCTTTACCACTGTCAGGCATTCGTCGAAGATAGATCCATGTATCTGGGAAGTGATGTTATTAAGGAAATAACATTCCTGACTAACACGGATTGGAAAATTCTTAGGAATTTTGTGCTAACTTAAATAATGGACCGATGTTAACCATTTGTCCCTGGGACAATAGAAGATCATGTACCAAATTTTATTGAATTATTTTTGAAATTGCGACCTGTAGTTTGACTACAAGGTTTACATGAACGGGCGGATATAGCTAAATTGATTCAGAAAATTATTCTTTGCCGCTTGGTATACTTTAAGGTTTTTCAAGGAACAATATTATTGTGTGTTACAAACATCACCACAAACCCAATTTACCCTTGTAAGTGTATATTGGGTTTGGGTATAAAAATTGAAGGGTTTTCTTTGGCTTTTGGACAAAAAGTTAAATCTTAATTGGCTTCAAACTTTAGCTTAAATTTAGTATTTAAATCAACATTTTGATTTGGTATGTAAATAAAGTATGTAGATATCAGACAATATATACATGATAATTATCATATATTTATATATATGTATATAGAAACATAGGTACATAGGTAAAAAGCTTAATTGCTTATTAGCTGGTGAAGTATGCCTAACAATTTTCAGAAAGTTATATATTTTAATTGTTTAATAAGTTTTATATATAGCACATACTTAAGTAAATTCATTCTTTAACTCGTTTTACTTTATGTAGAACTAAATTACACACAGACCTTTCCCTTCAATGGCAAATAAGCAGAGCAACTTAATTCTGCTGACATGACTCTTCAATGCTTGTCTTGTCTTCATATACGTATATAGCATGCTGAGCTACTCAAAATGTAATTTATTAAATATAATTATGTCATGTTAAGCAATTTCAAGCAGCTAATTAACAAAATCTCTAATAAATTTATTATGACAACAAATTAAATTCAACTAAAACCTAATAAGCCTACAACATATATACATATGTACATACATGTAATCATCACTTATTCATTCATTCATTCATTTGTTCAACCATTTAACTAAAAAAATCATTCATTCGTACGTTTAACATTCATTCATTGAAAAATTCAGCGAGTTTTTCTATGCGGAACAAGAGAAAAATATTTTTTTATGATAATTTACAACAAAAGAAGACGTGATTGAAAATAATTCATGCAAATATTTTTTTTCTGTGCATTATTTAAAATCAGTTGTATGTGTTAAATAATTCAATAAAATGATGAAATCTATAGAGGCATATGATGTGACATGATAAAAGTATTGCCCAGCAGAAAATTAAGGCCTAAAGACAAAGTTGGAGTAAATTTTCTAGGCGAAAGGACACATACAGTCACTCAACTTAATCACTGAAAAGTTAAGGTATGTCAAAGTAATATTTTCATTAAACAGTGAGAAATGAAATGAAACAAAAACATGACACCTCATTTATTAGACACGCTAGAAATCTTTAAGAAAAACTCCACAGGGTTGTAAATAAATGTAGCATATTCAAATAAATTACATGTGATTGTATCTTGTAAAAAAAAAGAAAATGAAACAAATATGTTCCTTTATGATTACATTTATGTATAATATGTGTGCGTTTGTAATTGTATAGAATTATATACATAATTGAATTCAAATGTATTTGATGAAATTGAATTGAAACGAAATGAATGTAATATTATAATAAAATTGAAAACTGAAAATTGTAAATGATGCGTATAAATAATGTACAATTTTAATGTATTTATATACTGATATCTAATTGTTTATGTGTATGTAGGCGTTTGTATTTAAATCTTGTATGTAATTTTTTTTCAATCTATAAAAGTACTCATGCACTCTTCTTGTGTGTGTGTGTGTCTGTGCGAATATAAGGATAAATTGCTGTTGTATAAATTAACATTGATATTGAAATAAATGAGAGTACTCAAATTAATTTATTAAATTATTTTGTGATTTTTTTTTTCATTTAAATCTAAACTCTTTTTGAATTATAAAAAGTATATAAAATATTTGACTTAAGTCTCAGTTTCTGCACCATGCCAATGTTTTCTCTATCCGAAATTTTGGCAGATTCAAAGCAATTTTTGTTCAATACGTAAATGTTTCTAATTTTAATCAATTCTTCCAAAAGTAATTATTCTTAATTTTAATTTTTATAGACCGCCAGGATTTTTTGAAAGGAAATAATCTCAAATTAGAGAAAATTTTCTTTAGAAATTTATCTCAGATTTCAAGCAAATTTTCTATAGAAAAAAATCCTTACTCCTATGCAAATTTCCTATTGATGTTTCAGATTATGAGCAACTTTTTTATAGAAAATAGTTTAAGATTATAAACAAATTTGCCATCGAAAATTTTACCAGAATTAATCCGATTCTGCGCCGTTTTTAGCTACTTTTCTATAGAAAATAGTCTCAGATTCTAATCAAATTTTCCATAGAAAATTCTATCAGGTTTTCGGCAATTATTCTACACAAAAATCAATTAGTTTCTAAAAAAGTAAAAAATTACATTTGAAGTAATGGTAATTGAAGATTTACCAATTACAATTACTTGTAATTGTAATTGAAGTTTTTCCAATTATTTGTAATTTAATTGAAGTTTTTCCAATTTTTTGACAATTACAGTTACTTGTAATTGTAATTGAAGAATTTCCAATTACAATTACTTGTAATTGTGTATTTTGTTCCTTATAATTACATGTAATTTATAATTAGTAATACCTTAATGATAATTACAAGTAATTGTAATTGGCAAAACTTCAATTACACATTACAAGTAATTGTAATTGGTTATTGGTCAATTACACATTACAAGTAATTGTAATTGGAAAAACTTCAATTACAATTACAACTAATTGTAATTGGTTTTTGCTCAATTACACATTACAAGTAATTGTAATTAACCATGTAATGAATTACTTTGTGTAATCATTACCCCCCATGCCTGATTCTAAACCATTTTTAGAAAAATGTCTTAGATTCAGAACCAATTTAAATTTAGAAAATTTTTTCCGATTCTCAACACTTATTCTACGATATAATATCAAATTTTTCTAAAAACAATTACCAAAATTGGATTACTGGTTAATAGTACTTCTATACAGAAAATTGTCTCAGTTTCTAAGCTTCCTTTCAGAAGAAAATAGTCTCATTTCTTCATCTACTTTTGAATAGAAAACTATTTTAGTTTCTGAGTTATTCGACGATTACTCAGAGCAATTTTCCTAAAAGCAATTACCAGATTTGGATTACTTCGGATCACAATAATTATCTATAGAAAGTTGTCTCAGTTTTTGAGATTTTTTTATAGAAAATTGTCTCAGTTTCTAATATGCTCTTCTATAGAAAATTATCTTAATTCCTGAGTTACTTTTCTATAGAAAATTGTCTTAGTTTCTGTGCTTATCTCTCAATTTCTAAACTATTTTTCTATAGAACATTGTCGCATTTCCAGATCTACTTTTCTAAAGAAATTTATCTTAGTTCATGAGCTTAATTTTGAAAGAAAACTCTCTCTCTTCTGAGCTATTCTTCTACGGAAAATTGTCTCATATCCTGAGCTACTTTTCTATAGAAATTTGTTTTAGTTCTTGAAATTCTTTTCTATTGAAAATTGTCTTAATTCGTGAGCATCTTCTTTATGAAAAACTCCAAGTTCCTGAACTACCTTCATATGGAAAAATTTCTCAGTTTCCGGACTTCTTTTCTGAGTTCCTGAGCTACATTTCTATAGAAAATTGTCCCAGTTTCTGCACTAGTTTTTTTTATAGAAAATTGTCTAAGTTTCTGAGAATTTTCTCAGTTCTTAAAGTTCTTTTCTGTATAAAATTGTCTCACTTCTTGAGAAAATTTTCTCAGTTTCTGAGATTAGAAAATTTTTTCAATATAAATAAGGTCCTTAAATTTTTATTTTCCAATACAATAATAACGTTCTTAATGATTTTGAAATTATTACCCAAAATACTTATAATCTTATAATTTAAATACATACCTGGATAATTTATTAATAGCTGTTTTCCTCATTAACACTAAGTTAATTATAATTAGTGGCAAAAGATAAACAAGATAGCAGCAAGTTTAAGGAAATAAAATCATATCGTATTAATAAATATAATTAAAAAAGTGACAATTTATAAAAAAAAAAATTCAATTAATATGTTAGAATATAACCATAACCTACCTATATTCTCCAATTGTCCCGGTGTACCCCAACCACCATGCGCTGCATTGCCTGCCTCACCGCCCAAACCACCACCGGCCAACGTTGAAGCCTGTGCATTTAAAGAGCCAGCTGGTGGTGGAACATAGTCACCACCATCTATAACAACACCATCAATGCTGGGGCCAAAGGCAAAACCAAATTCAGGTTGTCTAATCGGTACACTTAACAATTGTTCTAAAGGTTTTTCTCTTAAACACTTCATAAAATGTGCATGCGGCAGGTCGGGTGCACAGTTAACATGATGTGCTACAATGGCAGCATATTTGGCTGGATTACTAACCAAAGACCAAGGTGTCAAACCTGAGCCAGACATTAAAATCGCACGATTGAATAGTAAACCTTTATTTCAGTTCATTTTTTTTTTACGGCAAATAAAATGTTAAAAGGATGAAGAAGTGGGGAAAAAAAGAAATTAAAATTTAAATGTATTGCATAGAATTTTATTTATATTGTGGTTTTTGTGGCCATTTTTAGTGGCTGTGGTAACATTTTCTACAATTTACCTTCTGGCACTGCCATTGATGATATTAGAAAATGAACACATGCTGCTCCGGTGCCATGGCCAGCTAATGTTATACTTTGCGGGTCACCGCCAAAAGCAGCTATATTTTCCTTTAACCAATGTAATGCTGCTATGATGTCCATTAAACCATAGTTGGCTGGCAGCTTTGAATAACGATCGGTGTTGGCATTTAAGAAACCTTTAATAAAATTAAATGTTTCGTAACATATTATTATGTGTATGAGTGAAAATAGGAAAAAAAGAAATAATAGTCTTTTGTGTTGTAATTGTGTGGCAATTTCGATTTAATCTTTTTAAGTATGTGTATGAAATGGAATAAAAGTTAAGTATGAAAGATTATAACAAAAGGCAAAGTATTGGTAGGTTTAAATCTGCATTATTAGACAATACTGATTCAATTAAAAAGTTATTTAGTATTTTTTTTATATTATTAAGAAACAAAATTACACTATGTATAAAAAATTCCCAAATATCTATTATTCAAAATTTGTCTCAATCACTTTCTAACAAAAACTATTTTATGCAATACATTTTCTTAGTAATTTAATATTGAATTTATTTCAATATAATAAAAACCTAAAAACGAGGGAAATCTACTACTACTAGTATTATTAGAAAATTGTTTCTTTCTTTATCAATGAATTTCCACATGACTTCCTTTTGATAAACTAAATTGTGTTTGCAGTAAAAATAAACTTCCAATATGATAATATTGAAGGCTGTGTGTGCAATAGACTGCTGCAAATGCTTCAAGGTAATTTACATTAACTCGTAATCTTAGGAATTTCAAGGAGTGTAACTGTGAATATCGTGTTAATACGGTCAATTAATTCCTTAATATTTTCTAAGAAGATATAGACATGTCCGTCCGTCTACCAGCCAGTAGATAGGACGATATAGTGTCAAGGAAAAGTGATTATAACTAACTAACTAACTAACTAACTAACTAACTAACTAACTAACTAACTAACTAACTAACTAACTAACTAACTAACTACTAACTAACTAACTAACTAACTAACTAACTAACTAACTACTAACTAACTAACTAACTAACTAACTAACTAACTAACTAACTAACTAACTAACTAACTAACTAACTAACTACTAACTAACTAACTAACTAACTAACTAACTAACTAACTAACTAACTACTAACTAACTAACTAACTAACTAACTAACTAACTAACTAACTAACTAACTAACTAACTAACTAACTAACTACTAACTAACTAACTAACTAACTAACTAACTAACTAACTAACTAACTAACTAACTAACTAACTAACTAACTAACTAACTAACTAACTAACTAACTAACTAACTAACTAACTAACTACTAACTAACTAACTACTACTAACTAACTAACTAACTAACTAACTAACTAACTAACTAACTAACTAACTAACTAACTACTAACTAACTAACTAACTACTAACTAACTAACTAACTACTAACTAATAACTAACACTACTAACTAACTAACTACTAACTAACTAACTAACTAACTAACTAACTAACTAACTAACTAACTAACTAACTAACTAACTACTACTAATACTAACTAAGGGCTAACGAACTAACTAACTAGACTAACTAACTAACTAACTAACTAACTAACTAACTAACTAACACTACTAACTAACTACTAACTAACTAACTACTAACTAACTAACTAACTAACTAACTACTAACTAACTAACTAACTAACTAACTAACTAACTAACTAACTAACTAACTAACTACTAACTAACTACTAACTAACTAACTAACTAACTAACTAACTAACTAACTAACTAACTAACTAACTAACTAACTAACTAACTAACTAACTACTAACTAACTAACTAACTAACTAACTAACTAACTAACTAACTAACTAACTAACTAACTACTAACTAACTAACTAACTAACTAACTAACTAACTAACTAACTACTAACTAACTAACTAACTAACTAACTAACTAACTAACTAACTAACTAACTAACTAACTAACTAACTAACTAACTAACTAACTAACTAACTAACTAACTAACTACTAACTAACTAACTAACTAACTAACTAACTAACTACTAACTAACTAACTAACTAACTAACTAACTAACTAACTAACTAACTAACTAACTAACTAACTAACTAACTAACTAACTAACTAACTAACTAACTAACTAACTAACTAACTAACTAACTAACTAACTAACTAACTAACTAACTAACTAACTAACTAACTAACTAAATAAAACTAACAATAACTAATACTAACTACTCTAACTAAATACTACTAACTACAACTAACACTAACTAATGTAAACTAACTAACAAAACTAACTAACGAACTAACTAACTAACTAACTAAACTAATAACATAACTAAAACAACTAAATAAAACTACTACTAAATAACTAACTACTAACTAACTTACTAACTAACGACTAACTAACGATTAAACTAACTATACTAACTAACTAACTAACAATGTATTATACATACACCACTATAATGGCGCAAAAATATTAGTCGTAATCTACCATAAGGTATACCGATTGACTTAGAATCACAGGAAATCTGAGTCAGAACCACATCCTGAGTCAGAATCATTTTCGGAGTCAGAATGACTTTCTGAGTCAGAATCACTTGGTGACTCGATTTAGACATGTCCATCTATATTTGAACGAAATTATTGAAAATTGTTGAAATCGGTCCATTATTTCCCCGATACAAAAGGACCTTCCAATTTGGGCATTTTTGTCCATAACTACGTCAAATATACTACTATCTCTCCGAAAAAATGACACAACTAAGTTTTATTTAGGCATAAATGAAAATTTTTATAATGATCGCCCCTTATATGCCCCAAACAAAATATCTTAAATTTCCAAAATTGACTTATAACCATTTGTATAAATATACATCCCTCCTCCCAATTTCTTGAGAATCGGCCCATATTTGTCCCCAGCTCCCATATAAACCTCTTTTAGAAAATTAGTTGTTTATCTATAAGTTACTTAAATACATCGGAATTAAGATAACATTCAACATAAAAGTATCTTTATGAAAAATAAATAATTTCTTAAATATGGTAGGCCATGCCCGACTATACTTTCCTACTTTTTATGATTCTAAAATCTTCTCTATGCGATTCACCTGCACCCTATTGTACTAGTATGTAAAAAAACTACAATATTATTGAGTAAATAAATAACATGTAGTTATAATGTTACTTTACGTATTGTTTCAAATTATTTGTATCTAATAATTTACATTTATTTTTGTTTATTTTATATGTTATGTTTTGTATACATTTTTCATGTATATCAAATTTACAACAATATGTTTTGTAATCAAAGAAATTAGTTATATTAAATTTATTTGCCAATAGGAAATGAGTTTAAACAAATTGTTGAGATTTTTTCTTAAATACATATACATATACATATGTATTTATTAACTAGAAACAAAAACTTACCTAATAAACCCAAACGATAGTTAATAGTAACAACTAACATTTGACCAAAACTGGCTAATACTGAACCATCATAGGGATTGCCACTATTCCATTCGTATGATTCACCATGAACAAAAACCATAACTGGCAATTTTGCTTGTGATGATGATGAGGAAGATGAACTGCTACTACTACTGCTGCTGCCACTCGATGAAGAACTTGAACTGCCACTACTACTCGCTGAAGAATCTCTTGAGGCAACTGCAAAGATTTAGAGAAAACGAAAAGGAAATTAAGTATGGGAATGAAATCAAATTGTTGTTAGCATAAAATAACCATTAAGTTTAGTTCAGTTTTTGTTTCACTTTTAATTTGTTTAGTCCACCAAACACAAAAAAAAATTAGCTAAGACAGTTTAAGAGCATTAATTAATGTATTTTATTTTTTTATTCCCTTTTGCCACTTTTAGCGTTCTGTGTTTTTTTTTTTTTTGCACACTTGGTATATTTGTAGAGTTTTTTCTGCTGCTCTCTTTACATTTCATTTGTGTTTGATTAAAAATTGCCAGCTGTCAATTATCAACAGCATTTATATGTCAGAAGTCTTACATTTATTCTTTTTTTTTTGTGTGTGATAGTGTTTGTTTGTATTATTTCATCTGTCAAAGTGGCAGTTGTATTTTTTGTATACCTATACCTCGATTAACACGATAGTTGTGTGTGTAAAAAATGGTGTAAATCTGTGAATATAGAAAATCTTTTAATGTGTAAATTTATGCCGTTCATTCTAAGTCCATGTTTTCAAATCACTATAAATCCTGTAAATAGAGGGACTGCTGTACATTACTTGTTGTTGTTATATTTGCTTTTGTCCATATAAAATGTAAATCCATTTGTCAATGTATATCTACATTCACATTTATATTTATTTAAAAAAAAGTTATCCAAAAAAATTGGCATATGTTTAATACAACAAAAACAAAAATCACTTTAATGTGTATAGAGAAAAAAAACTGGACAACTGAAACGAATTTAATATATACTTTTTTTGTATGACTCCAAAAAAGGACTTTTAATGAATGTTGTTGGTATTTTTTTGTTTAAATATTTCATTTTCCAATGAATACCTTTGATTGTGTGCGATGTTGTTTTTTTTAGAATATTTGATTAATGCATTACTAAGGCTCAACTTTACTTTATTTTGTGAAAATTGAGGTGGGTGTTTAAAAAAACCGCTCATTAATTTTGCTATTGTTAAAGTAAGAAAGAACCATTTAAAACCTTTTATCTGTTATATGTAATATTTATATGGAACTCTTATAGATTATTTATATTTTTAAGTGAAAAATTTAAAACAGTAATTGTCAATCATCGAGGTATGGCTCTTATTTTTTTTTATTTTTGATAGATAGGGATGGGTTTGTTAGCAACAGGATATGGGAATATGAGTTATGTACAAAGACAACAGAGCACACGTTTTCTTTTGTAACCTGAAAAGCTTAATAAAGCTTTTAAAACCATTCTCGTTGACTCAAACGGTTTAGATTTTAGAGATTAACATCTAATGCCTTTTCTCACAATTTCCGAAAACTTCAGTCTCTGGCATTCGATAGGTTACGTAATACGTATAATGTTTGTGTATACTGATATCATAACCTAAACACCAATTTGGTTAACTTTCATAGAGTAGCTCGATTGTGAGTGTCATCTCATAACATATATAAGATTCGAATGGCCCATATCTTGCAATGTTTCCAGAGTGTTGGTCAATTCAGTGTTATTCTCACTAATACCCAAGCAAATCTTACCCTGGACGGACGAACAGACGGGCATAGCTAAATGATTTCAGAAATTATAAGCCGATTGGTATACTTTAAGGTTAGCATAGGACCAATTGCTCGTTACAAACATCAACACAAACCCGATATACCCTCCTCTCTAAAGTGATGTATATATATAAATTCCTGTTATTCCTATTAGAAACATAGGGCCTCGCTAAAAAAAGTGATGTAGAGTATAAAAATATTACTATACTCTGACACCACTACATAATAAAACACCGCAAAAAGACCCGTGTCTCCCAGTTTTAAACAAAGTCATGGATTTTTTATATGTAACCCTAAAATTTTGGGGTCCAGTTGTTATTTTTGCAAAAAATGTGATCATTTTCTCAGGCTCATATTATATACTCTCTGATGCAAAGTTGTAGCTTTTGCCTTAAAGAACAAAAATTGTGAAAATATAAAATCAAACAAGTTAGAGTGCTATATTCGGCTGAGCCGAATCTTAAATACCCTCCACCAGCAACTTTTGTATTAATACATTTCTAATTAATAAAATATTTGTAGAAATAAGTTTTCTCATGTCTTAAATAGAAAAATCCCAAGATTTAAACAGCTTAAATCTACTACAATTCCAAGATTTATTGAACATTAGAAACGCCACTTTCATATAAATTTTTATAGCGCCCTAAGATATGCTTTAGCGATATCTCGTATTTGCATGTATGCATGTGTGTGAAAGATTTAAGGATTTTAAAAATACATACATATATATAATTTTGTTCTACACAAATTGATAATACAAATAGTTAAATAAGGTTAAAGCGCTTTTAGGCCAGGACCTAGTATGAGAGATATGACTAAATATAGACCGATCGTGAAAAATTTTTGAAATAACATTAAGTGCTTTTTGCATTACAAAATAGTATTTATGAACAAAAATAGTATTTATTTATATCATTATTTGGTAATGAGTTATGTGCCTTTAAGTGTTTTTCTGAAAGGGACCTTGTATGGGAGCTATGATCAATTATGGATCGATAGGAAAACAATTTCACAGTAATATTTCTCTGTATATGAGCAATATTTCTGCCAAACTTTATATGGATATCTTAATTATACCCTACACCACTTTAGTGGGGAGGGTATATTGGGTTTGTGCTGATGTTTGTAACGCACAATAATATTGGTCCTACACCCACCTTAAAGTATACCAATCGGCTCAGAATCATTTTCTGAGTCGATTTAGCTATGTCCGTCCGTCTGTCCGTCCGTCTGTCCGTCCGTCTGTCCGTCCGTCTGTCCGTCCGTCCGTCCATGTAAACTTTGTAATCAAACTACAGGTCGCAATTTTGAAGATAATTCAATGAAATTTGGTACATGATCTTCTATTGTCCCAAGGACGAAGCCTATTGAAAATGGTTAAGATCGGTCCATTATTTCACCTAGCCCCCATACAACTGAACCCCTCGAATAGGGCTTTTAAAACTTGTAATCAAACTACAGGTCGCAATTTCGGAGATAATTCAATGAAATTTAGCACATGATCTTTTATGGTACCGTAGACGAAGCCTATAGAAAATGGTTAACATCGGTCCATTATTTCACCTAGCCCCCATACAACTGAACCCCCGAATAGGGCTTTTAACACTTGTAATCAAACTACAGGTCGCAATTTTGAAGATAATTCAATGAAATTTGTCACATGATCTTTTATGGTACCGTAGATGATGCCTGTTGAAAATGGTTTACATCGGTCCATTATTTCACCTAGCCCCCATACAACTGAACCCCTCGAATAGGGCTTTTAAAACTTGTAATCAAACTACAGGTCGCAATTTTGAAGATAATTCAATGAAATTTGGCACATGATCTTTTATGGTACCGTAGATGAAGCCTGTTGAAAATGGTTTACATCGGTCCATTATTTCACCTAGCCCCCATACAACTGAACCCCTCGAATAGGGCTTTTAAAATTTGTAATCAAACTACAGGTCGCAATTTTGAAGATAATTCAATGAAATTTGGTACATGATCTTCTATTGTCCCAGGGACGAAGCCTATTGAATATGGTTAACATCGGTCCATTATTTCACCTAGCCCCCATACAACTGAACCCCCGAATAGGGCTTTCAACACTTGTAATCAAACTACAGGTCGCAATTTTAAAGATAATTCAATGAAATTTGGCACATGATCTTTTATGGTACCGTAGACGAAGCCTATAGAAAATGGTTAACATCGGTCCATTATTTCACCTAGCCACCATACAACTGAACCCCCGAATAGGGCTTTTAAAACTTGTAATCAAACTACAGGTCGCAATTTCGGAGATAATTCAATGAAATTTAGCACATGATCTTTTATGGTACCGTAGACGAAGCCTATAGAAAATGGTTAACATCGGTACATTATTTCACCTAGCCCCCATACAACTGAACCCCCGAATAGGGCTTTTAACACTTGTAATCAAACTACAGGTCGCAATTTTGAAGATAATTCAATGAAATTTGGCACATGATCTTTTATGGTACCGTAGATGAAGTCTGTTGAAAATGGTTTACATCGGTTCATTATTTCACCTAGCCCCCATACAACTGAACCCCCGAATAGGGCTTTTAAAACTTGTAATCAAACTACAGGTCGCAATTTTTTAGATAATTCAATGAAATTTGGCACATGATCTTTTATGGTACCGTAGATGAAGCATGTTGAAAATGGTTCACATCGGTCCATTATTTCACCTAGCCCCCTTACAACTGAACTAGCCGAATAGCGCTTTTAAGTTCATAATTATGTTTAATATACTCATATCTCGACAAAAAGCTGCAATAACCAAGTTGTATACAAGACTTGATGACCCCCACGAATTCTATAATAATAGGTTCTCATATGACCCTAGCCCCTATGAAAAGCCCCCATCAAAATTTCACTTAAATGTCCACAATTTTATTCAACAATAAACGGCTTAAGTATGTATATCTAAGGCAAGGTACAATTCAACTTAAATGCTTTATTATGGCAACTAAATCACATTATATTTTTGTCAAAGGTGTAGGGTATTATATGGTCGGCCTCGCCCGACTATAATTTCTTACTTGTTTAGTAATGAGTTATGTGCGTTTAAGTGATTTTCGGGAGGGGACCTTGTATGGGAGCTATGACCAATTATGGACCGATCGAAAAAATTTCACAGTAATATTTCTGTGCATATGAGTAATACTTGTGCCAAATTTTATATGGGTATCTTAATTACGTAATGAGTTATGCGCGTTTAAGTGATTTTCGGGAGGGGACCTTGTATGGGAGCTATGACCAATTATGGACCGATCGGAAAAAAATTTTCAGTAATATTTCAATGCATATGGGCAATGCTTATACCAAATTTTATATGGATATCTTAATTTAGTAATGAGTTATGCGAGTTTAAGTGATTTTCGGGAAGGGACCTTGTATGGGAGCTATGACCAATTATGGACCG